TGATATGATTGAAGCTGGGTGATGATTATGTAGGGGTTCCTTTTCTTTTCTTTTTTTAATGCAGAAACTTTTTTTTTTAAAACTTTATTGGACAACAGTGTGTTTTTCCCAGGACCCATCAGCTCCAAGTCAAGCTGTTGTCCTTCAATCTTAGTTGTGGAGGGTGCAGCTCAGCTTCAAGCCCAGTCATCCTTTTCAATCTAGTTGCGTGGGAGCACAGCCCACCATCCCAGGCGGGAATCGAACCAGTAACCTTGTTCTTAAGAACACGTGCTCTAACCAACTGAGCCATCCAGCCACCCCACGTAGGGGTTCCTTTTAATATTATTACTAATTTTGTCTATGTTCTATATTTTCCTTAATGTTTTTTTTTTTAAAGATTTTTATTGGGGAATTGGGGGGATGGGAACAGTGCTGGGGAATTGGGGGAAGGGGAACAGACAAGTTGCTGTCCTTTTGTTCTTCAGTCTAGTTGTGGAGGACGTTGCTTCACTGGCCCAAGTTGGCACCATCATTGCGCTCTTCCTGGGCGAGGCAGATCAGTCGCTGGCTTCTGGACGGCCGCTCACGGCAGCTGCTGGCTACACACGGTAGCCCATGGCAACCCATTGCCACAGGGGCTGCAGCCTATGCCGTCGCCAGCGACTCAAGGCAGCCCAGCTCCAGGTTGAGCTGCTGTTCAGCATCTTAGCTGTGGAGGGCAGTGTCACTGGCCCTCATATGTGGGATCCGAACCCGGGGCCCTCTGGCATCCCAAACCAGCTCTTAACGAACGCACCACTCGGCCGGCCCTTTTCCTTAATGTTTTAAAATGTACATTTTTGTTGTTACCCTTTGGTTTGGAAACACGTATTGGACAGCCCAACTTGATTTAGGAAACACTGCACGCTGTAGTCATAGAGACTTGGTAAGACACTTGGGGCAGAAATGGATCTGAATTCCAGCGCTGAAATTGAGGTGGCAATTTCATCAGCAAGAGGAGAGAGATCTTCCTTGACAAGCGATCCAAACAGAATGAGAAGTTCCACCATTTTCTAGGCACCACTGTTAATGGGTCAAAATCCTTACCTTTCAAGCTTCCCGCTTCTTGTGCCCCCACATCCCACGCCACACACCCTCAGTCAGGCTGGTGTCCTCGTGGGAGCCCATGGTGGCATGCCTGCTCTTCTCCATGACTCCTCTTAGGTGTTCTTCCCCTCTAAGGTTGCTAGAGTTTGCAAAAAAACAAAATAGAAACAGGACTACTCGAACTTTAGAAAAACTACCAATAATATGTAGTGTGAGGAGATCCCCCTGGAACCTCTCCGTCTCGTTTCCTGTCCTGCAGGGCCCGAGGGTGCTCATTTTCAGGAAGCCTTTGGGAGTGGTTCTGGGGAGTCCATGACTCAAAATGCAGCTTTTTCTCCCATCTAACTGTAGGCAACCTGGTGACAGTGTTTGGCATATAATGATAGTGTTTCAAGAAATACTTCCTGGGCCAGCTGAGTGGCATGTTGGTTAAGAGTTGGCTTGGGAGCATGAGTTCTGAGCAGCAGGGCCGCCGGTTCAGTTCCCACATGAGGGCAAGTGACGCTGCGCCCTCTACAGCTAAGATGGTGAACAATAGCTCAACCTGGAGCTGGGCTGCCATGAGTCACCGGCGATGGCATAGGCTGCAGCCCCTGCTGCAGTGGGCTGCCGTGAGCTATTTTGAGTGGCTGGCAGCCAGCGTTGAGTGGCCACCCAATGGCAGGTGAGCGACTGCCTCACCCAAGTAGCGCGCAATGATCACAATATCAACATGGGCCAGTGAAGCGATGTCCTCCACAACTAGACTGAAGAACAAAAGCACAGCAACTTGTCTGTTCCCCACCAATTCCCTAATAAAAATTAAAAAAAACAAAACTTCCTGGTCACGTGGAAGAGAAGGGGACAGGTGGCAGCTCAGAGTGGGGAGAGGCCAGTGTGAGTGCCAGCTCTCTGTCAGGTCGATAACAGAGCTGGAAGGAGTCTCAGAGGCCATTGCATTATTTTGCACAAAGGGACTCGGGGAGTCACGTGACTCCCCCAATCAGCTGACTGGAAACCCGCTTCCCAGGCAGAAGCTTCCTCTGTTTCGCAGGCAATAATTGCACAGCAGGCTGGCATTATGGTACCAGCATGGGCATGAGGGCGCCTATTCTTCCTTTCCTTGCTGGTAAGAGTGAACTATGGCTCAGAATCGCCCCCTCCCTCTGGGCACTCCCTGCCCTGGTTCCAAGTAATTGCTAACATGGGTAACAAGTTCAAGTTGGTCCTTCTGTGGGGACCGAATGCATCAAATACCACCATCAGGCTACTGATAGTTTTATTTATTTGTACTCATCCACTTAGGGTAGACAAGTTTCAAGATTAGGCTAAAAGATTCTTTGAAAAATAATATGCTACATAAGGTGTGGAGAGGTTAAGGGCATAGGCTATGAAGACCATCTGCGCACTTAAGCCTGTTTGGCCATTTCCAGAGTCACCTAATTGTACCTGTTTTGTTATGATGCTAGGCACTCATTAACATGCCCAGCACACAGTAAATGCTCAGTAAGCGTTGTTGTTATGAAGTTCAAACAGCGCCACAGGTAGACCAGGCACAGATTTCAGACATGTATGCTGGTCACGCATCCTTATGTATGGGTGGCTGCCGCTGGCCACGTTTTACATAAGGAGGCCTTCGGGAACCACTGTGAGAATGGCAGAGGGATGGACGTCCCGTGGCATTCCAGAAACTCGTGTTAAAGGAGCCCGTTTCCTAAGACAGTGATTTCTGGGCTCCGAGAGAGGTGACTCAGGTGGGGGTAGAAAGAGAGCAGCCCTCGCACTCCCGTGTAGGCTAACCTTGGGGGACGCTTCCTTCCATCCATGGTGAGATCCTCAAATGCAAAAAAGGAACACACAGCCTTTGATGTAAGATGAGCCTAAATCATCCCTTTGGTTCAATCGCTATACCTTGATCACCAAGGAGAACCCACTCCTCTTATCTACAAGGTGTGCTGTTCCCAGTTGTCCATGAAACAGGTAAACGAAGGCAAGAAAAAATCTCTCCAAGTGCTGTGTGTTCAACTGAATGATGCTGCCAGTAAAGGACTTTTATGTCACGTCCTGCGTGGCAAGGGCAAATGGGACTCGAGAGGTGCGACGCAGATTGAATAAGAATAAGAGACAGAAGTAAGATAAGAGCGAGAGCAAGGGACTCAGCCAGAGAAGACTGAGCCCTGAATCAAGGCTTTTATTGAAAATTTTCAAAGAAGTAAAACTGCTGTAAATTAGTAACCGTGTGTAATTGTGTGCCTTAAGGCTGCTTTCCATTAACCCATCCTATTGTATTCCAACAAATGCTATGCCTTCATACATCACCACACAGCCCCAGGACACTTTGTTACTGTGTCCTCCCAGGGGAGATAACTGATATCATTCCATCAGGTCCCAGTCATACCGAGACACCCCCCCCTCCGAGAGAGCTTTACCGATATCATTCCACCGGGCCTCGGTCATACCGAGACACTCTCTCGACTAATAGGGTCAGGGGCTAATGCAGCGGGGGTGGTCTTGGAATCGGCTGTAAGGCAACACTTTTACAGCAAATTTGTTGCTGCATTTAAATCATGCAGTTAAAACTATGCCAGGGGTAAAGGTTTTCACCCAACATAACAACCACCAGCATCAAACAAAACACCAGCTTTACAGTTCCCAAACTCTAAATTTACATTGAAAAAGCAAATTATGAGAGGGGCATGGTACAGAATAAACAATGGCATATTTTCTTCTTCCTCAACGGAAGTCACAACAGTTATTAACATTTATTCCCCCGCAAAGTTCATTGTTCTAATTTCCATTATCCAGAGGAAGTTCTGTCCTTGACAATATCCAGAACTATGCTGTTATCCTGTGGCATTAGCAGCATCCTGGATACTGGGACAAAAAGCCACGCAGCTCGTTCAAGATACAAAGTTATTGATCCATAAATATTACACTACAACCAAGGACCTTTGTGCCAGTACTGAGTCTCCTGGAAGGGTCCCCCCATGCTTTTCCCAGTGGGTCCTGAGGTCAGTACACTCACAGCTGAGCAGGGTATGGGTACTTCTAGGTAGGAAGGCACCACAGTGTAAGAGAAGTTTCTAGCACTGGAATATTTCTGCAGTTCACAGAACACTTCAGATAAACTGAAAGTGTAGCTTTCCAGGGGAAGAAATCAAAGTTAAATTCTGAGAGCTTCATCTGCTTCTAGATCATAGTTTTCAGTACTGCTCCAACTCTTAAGCTCCACAAAGCTAAGGAGGGCGAAGAATGACTCCCGCCCCCATCGTCTGAGATTCTAAGTTTTCATTCATTCGGCAGATGAGAGAAAAACCTACTGGGTGCTGTCACCTTGCAGCTGCTGACTCGAATGCTCCTGTGCACTGATCCTTTGAAGTCATAAGGGAGTGTCTTGGAATGCTGAGACCCGAGGGAATGATCTCGGTAAAACTTCCTTATCAGGTGGTCTCAGAATGCTGAGGTCATCCCGGGGATCATACGCATGTGTGAAAGCAATGAGTTTCGGTGAAGCAGCTGCCGGTCTAATTGAATCAATTAACTGGGTATAGATACTCAAATTGACCTCTTTGTGACGGTTGTAAATAAAAGCTTTACACCCCCCAGTGTCAGGGCTCGCTCTCTCATTTGCAGAAATGAGAGCCCTGGCCCGCAGAAACTCTACTTTTGACTCTTGTGATTTCTTAACCCTTCGCCGCCCCTCCTCGAGCCCCCCAGCCCTTGTCACGCGGGACGTGATAGGGTGCCAGGCTTTGCAGCCCTTCCTGTCTTCAAGAAGTTGTCCTGTTGGCTTCAGCAATAATGTCAGGAGCTGTAGAACTTATGTTTGCCGGCTTTATTGAACACTTTCCCTTTAGGTAACATTTCTTTTTAAACTGTAGATTCAGATCTGACTCTACAATTGTACAGTTATATTTTCTTCTTCTGCAGTTGAAATATAAATTGCAAACAGGTAAATTATTCTATTTTTATTAAAAATTTAAGTTTAGTCCAGTTTCTATACAGAATGATTTCCATGAAATATAGAACTAATCTTTAAAAAGCTATTTCTAGTGTTTCTCCTTTACCAAGCAATTAAACTTCCACACAATTTTAATCAGTATCCAATCAGGTAACAAGCTCGTATTTGTAACATAAAGCTATGACTTTATTATTTGGAAGTTCCACTCCGGTTAAAGGCCAGAAGGCCAAGAAGAGAAAAAGCATAAGAAAACAGATCCCTTTTCTGCTTCAATTCACCAATGGCAGATTCACCGTGGGCTGGAACAGAAACAGCGGGGCTCTTCAGTAACTCAAGACTGTCAGGCCGAGGTCATGGCTTTCACAAGCCATTCGTCAGTGCCCCAAATTCTGAGCTGGAACTGCTGGGCTGACCCAGTGGGGCATTTCTCAGGTTCGTGTGTGGGGGGTCTCCAGTTATCTTTTGATTATTGAGCTATCAATAAAGGCTCAGAGCACTGACATTTAATACAATTCTGGAATAAGACCCCTCTCATTCTCAGCGGTTCTCTCTGTTCCAGGGAGCGTGAGGTCATCACTGAAGTTGACCCTGAAGATAGGAAGATGGCGGATGGCCAGGTTTAGAAGCATGAGCCACAGTGGGCTGTGCTAAGAGTAAGTGTAAAACGTGGAAAGCAGAGGCTCTCTACCTCTGGTGGGCATTGCAAACACCTGTGCACCATTCTAAACATTCGCGGGCTTGTGCCCCACTCCCCAGCTCCAAAGATGGCACACTAGGCAGGTATCTTGGCAGACTTTAATCGGATGCTCTGATGTGTGCCAGGGAGAAGGAACTACCGCCTATAGCTCCCGCCAGGCAGTCACACCTGCACTTGGCATAGCTGGAGATGACGGACCAGAGGTGCACTCTGCTAGATCAGGGCTCACAAGTCGCATCCAAAGAGCTGCATGTGGCTTGAGAGCCGCAGTTTGCCGACCCTTGTGCTAGATCACCACTGTTAAGAACAACTTTGGCCACACTGGGTGGAGACCGCCCAGAAATAGGCATGCGTCAAATGTCAGTTCCCTTCAATAACTAAAGTTAGGATTTCAAATGGCGTTTCACACTTTTATGTAGTAAAGCTAGGGTGTCTGTTTTGATTTCTTATTTGTAGTCAGTTTGATGGAATAGTCTTCTGGTTTTAGTGTTGTTAATCTCTTGTTTTAAAAATAAAGGGTTTTGTACTGTCTTAAAAAAACCAAACAAAAAACATAATACTGAAAATATTCATATTAGCAACTTCTGATAAGAGGAAAAAAAATAGCTCTAGGGATACGGCAGTAAAAGAAAAGAGAAAAATAAACCTGATTGTCATTCACTACTGATTTTTACCCAACTTTTAAGCTTTAGTTTATGAAACAGGATCACAATTCCTTTCTCCAGTTGCTAACACCTAGACTGTTGCGAATTCCCCAAAGTGCAAAATTTCACGCTGGGGGACTTCTCATAGCTTAGCATCCACGCTGTTCCTCTGCAAAGGAGCCAGGCTAACCCCAGCATTCCTCTCCTCGCTCTCAGAGCTATACAAATTATGCTTTTCAATGTATGCCTGGACAAGCTCTGGTACCAAGTAGCGGATGCTGTGGCCCCTTCTGAGGGCTCGCCGGATTTTCGTGGACGAGATGTCGTTGGCGATCCACTCGTTCACCAGGTGGATGTTGTTCTTGTATTTCCACAGCACGTCGGATTCGTAAACAAATTTCTCAGCATCACTTCCAGCCCGCGTGACGCATACGAGCCCATAGTCCTCCACGATTCTGATGATGTCCTCACTCTTCCACAGGTTGGGGATGCCGAAGGACTCCAATGTATCTGCCCCACACAGCAGCTTTACCTTCGGCACATCTGGGAAGAAGAAAACACTGCTTCAAGGTCTGCCTTCCTAATAACTCCCTGCCTCAAAATGAATGTGTGGATGTGTTTTTCTGGAAAGAAGGTTCATCGTTTTTATCAGATTCAGATTCTTAAAAGAGATCTAGGACACCTCAAAAGTTAAAAACTGC